CTTTCTGCTCCTCTTCCTCTCTTTACACATGAGTTGAATTAACACATGGGGGGGGAGGGTTCGCTCCATTTTCAAGTGTAAATATCAGGCTGTTTTCATCGTGTTCAGCCTGACACTGTGTATTGGATTATCTTTGTATCTTTGTCTCCAGTCACAATCCAGCTGTCAGAGCGCAGCAGATTAGCATTTCAGAAACACATGAGCTGCGTGTGTGTGTGTGTGCAGGGAAAGAGGTGACAGAGCGCCACAGAGCTTTAGAGTCTGTGCTGCTGTCAGCGTTAAAAGCTTCAGAGGCATTTAGAGAGCTGGGAGAGGATGCTCCCAGCAGGCGGCAGACAGCAGGGAAGAGAGGGGAAAAAACAAAAGCAAAGGGAACTTGATGTAAATCCTTTTTAAGGTCTCACCTATGTGATGGAGTCTAGAAATAACCCTGGTTCAGATGCGAGTTTGTGCCACTGCCTCCATGTTTAGAAGAGAAAGAGATGGGGGATAATTAACTAAATGCCCCTGTAAATAAAAGGCAAGGCAAGTTTATTTATATAGCACATTTCAACACAAGGCAATTCAAAGTGCTTTACAAAAATGAAAGACATTAAGAAACATATTATAAAATGACATTTAAAAACACTCATTTCAATATGAAAGATACATGAATAAAAGTGACAGTGCAGTGTGAGATACACACATCTGAAATGTTTAGCTCTGGCTCTCAATCATTGCTCACTTTTTAGCAGAAATAGTTTTCTATCACCTCCCTTTCTTTCTACTTTCTTGTTTAACTTGTCCTTTAGTTATGTCAAGTGTTTCATGCTAAACGAACCCCCCTTTGGACAATTAGAATCTGACCCCATGGTACCTTTTAGTTTTCGCGGAAACTATTCCTCTTTTATATTTTTAAATGCACATAGTTAAGTTTACCTTGTCTTTCTAGGACTTTTTTGGTGTCCTCCGTGAACCAGAGTCTTGAAACCAAAACGGCACACGTAGGGGACTTGCACATACGAGGGGACTTTAACCCCAATAATGACTTTACCTACCTTTTGGGGGGGACAAGGCAATTCAAAGTGCTTTACAAAAATGAAAGACATTAAGAAAATGGTATTAAAAAGCAAAGATAATAAGTTGGAGCAATGGCAATGATGTCAGAGAAGAAAGACTGTCGTGCGTTTTTCAATTCCAAATTATAAAAGCCAAGTCTCTTTATAGATTTCAAAATGAACCTGGAGATTTGTTTTTCGCCACCTGCGTTCTGCTTTTCGACTCCCTTTTTTCTGTTTTCACGGTCATGGCCTCTCTCCATGGAGATATTTTCTTGCCAGTCACTTCCTTTACCTTAGTTGGAGCAATGGCATCTTTAACATGTTTAATTTTTGAATTAAAATGATCTACTAGCTCATTTCCTGAGATGTTAGCAGGGGCAAGTGTGGAAGAAACATTCTGAGTAAACATTTCCCTAGTATTTCCAGTTAAATATCGCTTTGTGGTTACCTCTTTTTTAACATTTTTGTGAACAGAAATAGAGCTCTCAAAGAAAACACAGGAATGATCAGAGAGTGCAACATCAGTCACCACAACCTTATAGATATTCAGACCCTTTGAGAGAATTAAGTCCAGAGTGTGCCCCTTGTGGGCTCCGTCACATGCTGAGTCAGTCCATAGTTATCAAGAACACAATTCAGTTACAGTGTTTCCATTACCATTGTCTTGGAGGGGCGCTGCGCCCCGCCAACGGAGCCCCGCCAACGGAGCCCCGCCAACGGAGCCCCGTGCCCCCCCTAAAATTCAAGGTGTTTAAAAAGAAAAAATAAGTTTTTTTTTAAAATTCATTTTTAAACTAATCTATATCTACTGTCACTTTTCACATTGAACATGTGCTCTTTTATTAAATAAACTAAACGCTTTCATTTTAAAGTTGTGAGTTTAGTGTTTTTGACCCTAAGAAACACTGATGCATTAATCAATAACAATAATCCACAGCTCCTCTCTCTGCTCCAGAGGATTTAAAAGAAATATATCCCAATGCAGTATTTGGGTGCTCTATAGATATTTAGGAACAGAGCTCGAGAGGAGCATTTCAGCTGAAGGGCCACATATTCAAAAGAAGCAAAAATGAGATTATTACAGCAGAAAACACAGAAATACAGAAAACTAACGGCTGTCACAATGAAGTCAAATAATGAACATGATGTTCATTATTTGACTTCATGTTCAGAACATTTGATAATACTATATCAGAGTTTCACACGAACAATGTTTATTCAAACAAAACAAGAACGTCACAAATGTACTTTATCACTTCTCATACCTAACGTGTCTTAGTTTTTAGAAAATCGCCTGAAGTAAATACAAAAAAAGTACCAAAAAAGCAACTCAAATATTTCCATTGAACCAAAATTTGGAATAAAAACTATTCAGTGAAAGTTACACACATGAAGCAAATACAATGTTGGGCAACACACATTCTGAACTCGATGCTCACTAAAATTGCAACTGCAGATATAACAGATAATTGAATAGCAAGTATAATATATACAGACGATATTAAGAAATGTATGTAAAAGATCAAAACGTTTTTTTTAATAAAATGTCTCAACATATATAGGACTTTATAGAGGTTTCATACAGGAACATTTAAATACATTTCATTTTGAAGGAGTTAATTAAATCCCTTCTCTTTTGTAAACTTGCAGAGGGCTGTGGGAGATTTAAAGATGGACTTTATGAAACTACTCCCACATTTTGGTATTCAAATTGATAAATGTAGATTTTTGATATTAAATCTAAATGGAAAAGTTTAAACTCGCTATTAGAACTAAACTCAAACAGTGTCAGGATATGAAAAGCATAACAGTTTGCAACACTGATGAGTTAACTTTATTTATTCTATTGAAAATCAATAACAGCTGGAAAGAAACCTTGATTCATGATTAAGAATTATGAGTCAAAGCATATCTATGTTGAAACATTTAATGAAAAAATTCAAAACAAGATACATGTGCACAGCTTCAGATATTAAAGCAGACGGCAAAAATCACGCAGTCATGAGAAAACAAAATAAATGAGAAAAACTAAATAGAGAATTTAAAATAATTCCCACAAAGGACAAAAACATAGTTACTCGTAGAAGAATTAAAGGAAACCCATCATGCTATATTTAAATGATATATTGTAGGGCCATACCTATATAAGGTATATTTATACATTTCTGTTTTCAAAATACCAAACAGGAGTGGGGAGACGTGCTCTGATCAGCTGCTGGGCTGTCAGAAGAGGGGGAGAAAAAGAGATCTCCGTGTTTTATTATATAGAGTCGTTATTCATTTGTTTTAAAGCTCAATAAATAACAAAGAAGACCTTTGACCGGCACTTTTCAAATTTTGTCCGGAAGATTTAAACTTTAACGGACATCTTGACCGGCAAAACAAACTGAAACTGAAACTCTGCCGCACGGTCCCCTCGTTCCTTGGAAGAGGCGGAGAGGTGGGTGTTTGTCATCTGCTGGTGGACTAACCGGAGAGAATTACAGTGCTTGCCTCGACGGGGAGGGATTGCATTGCAGCGGGAGCAAACGCTTGCCTCGGGGAGGGAGAAAGAAAGCCACAGCGGAGAATAAACAGAAGGGTAACCATGGTAACCAAGTCTTCTTCACTGCTTTTGTGGCAGACTACAGCGCCACTTACAGGCCTGGCATATGTACTACAGCGTCTCCAGCGCTTTCGAACGGCAATGGCCGTGGCTGTCTCCTCCTGATTGGTGGAGTTGGCCCAATAGGCGTAGCGCCACCGTCCTGACGTCAGGACAGTGTTCAAATCTGGATCAGTTTTCATTAGATCCGTTGCAGCCCCTTTTTTTGAGATTTGGGTATGGAGGAAAATAGAGGGTTGTGTTTTCTGACACTTGGTGAGTTCCCTGGAACACCGGGGACACATATTCATGTATAAAAGACGTACAAAAGTGCATTTTGCATGATAGGTCCCCTTTAAGTGACATCTGCCACATTCATAGGAAGAACAAAAACTAGGCTACTTAATTACAATGATAGGAAAAACTGCTGCAAAATGCAATAGATATAGCAGTAGACAATATATTGAAAACTTCTGATCAAAAGTTTAAGACCATAGCCTTAAAAAGTCAAAATCTGCACAAAAATGTGGCTTTCATGTCAGGCATTCAAACTGTCATGACCTCCTGATGGCAAAAGGCTTTCTGTCTTTGAACGTGGCACGATTGTGGATAATAAAAGTCAAGTGGTAGACCCCAAAAACATTTCAGCTGCGCCGAATGATCCTATGGGCTTTCCGTAAAGACACAGGCCAAAACTCGACCCAAATTAAGGCCATTACAGATGCTGACTGCAGCCCAATAACCAAAATAGTTTTCTATCTGTGTTTTTAATTTTTGCACCACGACACCAAGTCAAAATTCCTTGTCCACGTCAACCTACATTGTAATAAACCTGTTTCTGATTCTGATAAGACGACATCTGGGAGAGAAGGGCTTGAAGAACAACAAAAGTATTCGAATGCTACGTCTCCTTACGCGCCATAAACTTGCCCGTCTGGACTTTGCAATGGAGCATACAAAATGGGACATTGAACCGTGGAATATTTTGTAACCTGGATTGTCCTGATGGCTTCCAACTTTAGGAGAATCCATTATGATATGGGGTCCTTCTTCCTTCAATGGTGGTGACTGGGTCTTTCAACCGAAAAACAACCCCCTGATTAAGGACTTCTTCCAGGAGAATAACGTCACTCTTCTGTACTATCCTGATCTAAATCCTATTGAGAACGTTTGGGGATGGAAGGCAAGGGAAGTTTACAAAAACGGACATCAGTTCCAGAGCGTGGATGCCCTTCGTGAAGCACCATATGGAGCAACGTTCCCAAAAGCCGCCTGGAAACACTTGCATCAAGCTTGCCTAAATAAATGTTTGAAGTTATCAACAACACTGGTGGGGTAACTCATTACTGGGTTCATTTTTTACACTTTAATTTCAGTTTTTTTGGCTATTGTTTTACATTTTTTATGCGCTGGTGATCAGCCTGTTTGAGTATAAATTCAGGTTTCAATAAATTGCCTACTTTCTCTTTTGGTCTCTTGCTACTGTTTCTTGTTTTTGCATTTTGAAGCTCTACTTACAACCTGGTTATGATCCACCAGTGCGAAATGGGAATTCTGGTAATTTCTCCACCCGGTTTTCAGATTTTTGTTCAGGAGTGTATAACAATACAGCTATCAGGACATTAGGAGAAGTAACAGCTGGCTTGGCTCTCAAAGTTATTCAAAACGGCGCAATGTGAGTGCGCTCGTGGACTTTAAGTGTACTACCTTGTGAAAAGGCTTTCCCACATTGTTCACAGCTGTATGGTTTCTCTCCCGTGTGAATACGACAATGTTTTTTTAGATCACTTGTTGTAGTGAACGTTTTCCCACACCCTTCACACCAGTATGGTTTCTCTCCTGTGTGAATACGACGATGGACTGTGAGTTTACTTGATGTAGTGAACGTTTTCCCACATTCTTCACAACAGTATGGTTTCTCTCCCGTGTGAATACGATGATGGACTTTGAGTTTACTTGATGTAGTGAAAGTTGACCCACACTCTTCACACCAGTATGGTTTCTCTCCCGTGTGAATACGATGATGGATTGTGAGTTTACTTGAAGTAGTGAAAGTTTTCCCACACTCTTCACAGCTGTGTGGTTTCTCTCCAGTGTGGATTCGCTGGTGGGTTTGAAGTGAACCTTTCTCAGTAAATTGTTTGCCACACTGTTTACAGCTGTAGGGTTTCTCTCCAGTATGAATTCGCTGATGAGATGAAAGGTTGCCTTTCTGAGCAAAGGTTTTCCCACACTGGTCACAGCTGTATGGTTTCTCTCCAGTGTGAATACGATAATGTGACTGAAGTTCAAATGAAGTATTGAAAGTGTTGCCACATTGGTCACAGCTGTACGGTTTCTCTCCAGTGTTGATGCATTGATGAATCTTTAAAGTTTTAGATGTTGAGAAGGATTTGTTACACTGGTCACAGATGTGAGGTTCGGTTTGCTTTCTTCTTCTCCGTTCCTAAAATATACAGCGAGAGACAAAGAGTTAGTGAGAGGCCGTCGTGCAGAGATCTACAAAAATGAAACAAGCCCATTTGATTTTATATGACCAAATCATACTTCAAGGTGGGGTAGGTAAGTTTGAGAAACCGGCTCGAGATACACTTTTTGTTATATTCCATGGAATGCTCTTAACATCCCGATAGCAATGAATATCTTAAAGGGCCCATGTCATGGCCATTTCCACTGATCATAATTGCATTGTTGAGGTATACTAAAATAGATTTATACTGTGCAATTTTCCAAACTCACATTGGTTTCGCATACAGCATCTCTGTAAAGTATGTGTATTCAGCAGTATTCACTCTCTCCACTAAACGACTCGTTGGAGCTCTTGCCCCCCCCTCCCTGTGAGCCTAGTGTGCTCCGATTGGTCAGCTCGGCGACTCTGTTCTGATTAGTCAACCACCAGAGAGGCTCCGCCCATGTCTAACAGTGCTTTTTTCGGCTCGCTCTCGGAACATCAGTCTTATAATGGCGTCGGTACAGCCGTATATTTTATACGCTAACTAACCGAACTGTACCTACAACTGTTGTTATAGAAGAGTGTGACGGCCCCAGGGCCTTTGTGCAGGTGTGTTGCAGGTCTTACGATGGGGTGGAGCTGAAGAGGCTAATCAGCGCGATCACGGACACCTGGCCGGAGCCGAGGTGCTATTAAGCCCAGCTGCCCGGAGTCACACGGCGGCCCCTGTCTCTCTCCAAAGCGGCTGCAGAAGGACGAACTCGGCGATCCTCTCCCCTCGACCACCTATCTCTGCATTTACCACAATAAATGTGCCGTGGTTTTGTAAACTCGTGTATGTCTCCTTGTCTTTCCGTTGTGGCCTACGAGCCGGTCATAACAAAGAGTAAGTTATTTTTACCTGTAATAAACTACTACTGTTTGATGAGAAATCAAATCATGGTTTGCTATATATGAATGATATGTTATAGGAGCAAATAATTCAGGGAAGAAAGGATAGGCCTACTAAGTATTTCCATTAAACTTTATTTTTAGAAATGTACAAAATGAACATAAATATACATATATACACGGTATATCATCAATTCCTCCCCGTTGTCGGCATCTTGCCTATCGCAGCCGGGGCTTTTTAGGACGATGCATCAGTGTGGTAGTCCCGTCATGTATTGTCCGGCAGGATCTGGCTGGACGATTTCAAATGCAAATCACAAAATATTAGAGAAACTTAGTTGTTTTAGATTCGTTAGTAGTAGTTGTGGTAGGAGTGTGGATCTATCTAATCCATCTATCTAATGAACACAGTAAGCTTGCCAGCTAATATGCTAACCTAGCTTTGTTTACTTTGGTAGCTAACACGATATGAACGCTAGCTCGGAGGAACGGCAACTATAATGTAGTGTAATAAAACTACTATGAACAAAAGCTAGTGGTTCATATTAGGCTAGCAATAACGTGTTTATAATTGCAATCTTATACGGGTAGTCTGCTACGTTCGGTCATTCATTGTAACTGGCATGAATACATTGGTTTGCGCTAGCATGTATAGCTAGCCTCGTTAGCTATACATGCAGTATGTACATGTACTGTCACAATGTACGGTAAATCACCCGGAGTATACTGTATGAGTATTCCGTGTGTGACTGTAGACATTCTCCTGCCATGACAAACATGTAAGGCCATCTGCTGACATTGTAGTTGATATATTTAAACGCTAGCAACGTCGTTAGCCCAGTAAGCTGGGCTTGTTTAGTGTAATAAAACCACTATGAACAAAAGCTAGTGATTCATATTAGGCTAGCAAGAATGTGTTTACAATTGCAATATTATACGGGTAGTCTGCTACATTCATTGTAGCTGGCATAACAAAAAAAATTCCCGAGCAAACCCATGTCTAGCTCCGTTGGTTAGCTCGGTAGCATACACCCTACGCCAACTATAATGTAATTACGTTTCGCGACTGACCGTACGGCAAATCACCCGGAGTATACTGTCTATGAGTATTTCGTGTGTGAATGCAGACATTCTCCTGCTATGAGATACATGTATGCAAGGCCATCTGCTGATATTAGAGTTGATTTATGGAAACGCTAGCAACTTAGTTAGCACTGTGTCAATGCCTTAGCAGTCCGACACAGTTTACACATTTAAACAGTCTTGTTTGATAAATACACAAATAACAATGCAAACTTACAGGTTGTGTACCCGAATCTTCCCCTGCTTCAAACGGTCCAAACAAACTAGGAATAGCATCGTCCTTCAGTTGGAAGCTTTCGTCTGTGAAATGCCGCGCACACAGTAACGTTCTTCGAACCTCTGAAGGAACAGCGTTAAAAAGAAATTTCAACCACTGACTTCGTCGTGGTTCTTCCGTCGGTAGGACAAACAGCTCAGATTTCTCCACACATTTCAGGAAACAGGTCCTTGGCATTGGCATGACTGGATCGATTGTGAACTGAACCAGAGCTTCCAACAGTAAATGTTAGGCTGGCAGAGGGTGCGGCCAGCGCCGCTGGGTGTGACCATAGCTCTTCCGGATTGGTCCATTTTGTTCCATGTTTGTTTGTTTGTTTGTTTGTTTGCATGATGTCATGCGGTACCCGGAAGAATCAAATGGACAGTGACGTATCTCCAACGAGGCGTTAGAGTTTTACTCGCTACAGGGTGTACTTTGAGGGTTTTGACTCTGCACACCGTTTACATGCATAAAAACCTTCATAACACACAAGGGGACGGGTAATAACCGGAAAAGCATGACATGGGAGCTTTAAGTGCTTTGACAAAAAATCCATCAAAATATTTCATCTGTGGAAGCCGTAGTACTGTAAAAAGCACGACCAATCATTTTAGCCGGCCCGGCTAAAATAACTGGATGGCCTACCTGCCTGTCAGCCTTCCATCTGTGCACAAACTTATCTCGTGCCCTCATTGGTCATGTGCGCGTTCGTGTGTGTTGGAGGAGGGGCTCTGTAAGGAAGTGGCAGATTTTTTCCGGCTGTGTATTTTCAAATTCTAGCGCACTCGAGCTGGTTTCTCCAAAATTACCTACCCCACCTTTAATCAAATTTGATGTTTTCTTTTATTTCAAAGACTTTTCAGATTTTTGTATTTCTTTCTGAATTTAATTGAAATCAGATTTTTCTCCGAATTTGTTACATTTTTCAGAAGTGATTTTTCGTAATATGGACTTTTTTCATAATTGCGACATCTTTTATCATAATTGTGACTTTTTTAATAATATTGTATATTTTTTCATTATACATTTATTTTCATAATACTTACTATTTCCCCATAACTGTAATTTTTTTACTTCAGACGTCAGAATTCTGACTTTTTTTTTTTTTGGTTATTAATACATGTTTTACTCTTCTATATTAAAGGTAGGGTAGGTAAGTTTGAGAAACCGGCTCGAGATCGCTAGAATTTGAAAATACACAACCGGAGAAAATCTGCCACTTCCTTATAGAGCCCCTCCTCCAACACACGAACGCGCACATGACCAATGAGGGCACGAGATAAGTTAGTGCACAGATGGAAGGCTGACAGGCAGGCCATCCAGTTATTTTAGCCGGGCCGGCTAAAATCATTGGTTGTACTTTTTACAGTATTACGGCTTCCACAGATGATATTTTGTTATGGATTTTTTGTCAAAGCACTTAAGATATTCATTGCTATCGGGATGTTAAGAGCATTCCATGGAATATAACAAAAAGTGTATCTCGAGCCGGTTTCTCAAACTTACCTACCCTACCTTTAACATGTTTCAGAATTACACATTATGTCCAATTTGCAATTTTTCCAAACTCTTAACCTGTTAAGCCCGAGAGACCCCGGTACCGGGGCACTGCCGCAACATCTTGCAGGAAACAGTGTCTGAGGGCATGTTCATTTAATAAAACTATGAATGTTTTATATCCATGTAACGGGAAGAAACTCATCTAACTGATCATTTTTTTTTTCAAAAGAAAACCCACAATGCTAACACTGAGCCTCTGAATTAGCAACGAGCGAAAAATGCTAACACCTTACTGCACCAAAAATCACTCACAAAACCGTATTATTTATCTTTTCACCACATCCAACACATCGTTTCACATCGTGAGGTGACACAGAATCGATTGACACCGACATTACCACTGAATTATACGTATTTGCGACGTTATAAGCAAAAACGGACATCAAAACAGGTGACGCTAGGTAGCTAAAAATGCTAACATTTTTACCTTGGCTCTGTAGTCTCTCCAAAGTGGTCTTCAATGGCATTAAAATGATAATAACGCTGCTGAAGTTAAGCCATAGGTTAATCTAATGTGTCTGTGTCCCTTTGAAATGATTTCTGATAATCCATAAGCATTAAAACTGCTTTTCCGTTTCCAGATGTCAAAGCTAGAGATAGGTTCACTCTGATGGAAAATTACATGCGCGAAGCCCCCACCTTTTCTCTTCACAACGTGTGTGTGTGGGGGACTCCCCCTTCGATTCTATTGGCTCTAACGGTCAGAAAGAGGTGTCAACCATCAAATCGAGCAAGGGGGGCCAGAGATATGGAAAATCCACCCAAATGACCCCAGAAGTGGTTTCTTTTTGCTAAATCACTCTAAAAAGGTCAAATGTCACTTGTTTTGCATCAATCTTGATACAGGGTACTTATATCTTGTACTTTGAATTCCTACAGCTTTTAGTCTACTAACCCATCATCCAAGGGTGGTTTTCACTATAAGTAAAAAAGAATTTTTGGACGGACACTATAATTTACAGTTTTTTTACGATGTAAAATCTGAATTTTCTTTAAAATAAAAAACATCTATATTGATTCTGACTTTTCTACATCCAACTCACAAGTTTATCATTACTTTGAGAAAAAAGATTATTAATTTAACCCTTTTAGAAGGGAAGATATGGTCATTTGTTCTGGGAATGTCATTTTCGAGCCTGAGACCTGAAAAACAGGCTCAGGGCTTAACAGGTTAAGAATCAGATTTTTTCTGATTTTGGAC